CTGCTTGAGCACGGACCCGCCATGCCGCATCCGTAGTACGTCTAGTATGCGCGCAGTAAGGTCTGTTCGTCTGGGCGGAACTTGCTGGACACTAGGCGAGGACGCCAGTCGCCATCTAGCTGCTGCTCGTTCCCGTTGTTGAACAGAGAAGCGGTCCAAACCGCAGATCCCGGGTACTGTCCGCTAAGCTGTGCTGGCGTCTGAACCGCCTCGGCGTGAATGTCTGTGGGCACGCGGTCATGGCCGAGGAAGCTCGCCAGCGACTGCATGAGCCGGACACAGCCATCACCAGGTCGAACGGTGACGATCTCATGCATTTTTGTCTGTCGGTTGTACTTAGTGACTCTGTACGGCAGCCCGTTGGATAACGCCAAGAATGCGCTGTTGACGTTNTACCGCAGTCCACACCCCTTCCAGACTTGTTCACCTGGTGGGTGTGTTCACCCGTGCTGGCGTCCGGATATATTTCTGTACGTTTCGTTCAACGTGTGATGCAGGCAGCGAGAGGTCACGTGACGAGCTCGGCGTGAGTGCATTTTTCAGATAAACATGGACGGTAAAGCACTATCAAAATGCTTGGTTGAGTGGTGGGTGAGTGGCGCACCCCCCCCCCCCTCTTCCTCCCCCCCGCAATGCCCATCGTGTCTGTCGGCGGTGTTCTTAGCTGCAAGGATCCAGCGAATGGCGTTCAACGAGGCCAACCCTAACCCACAATCCACAACCCACATTCGAAACGCTCTCAACGTGCAGACGAATCGCCTCTACCGCATGTAGGATGGAGTGTATGGTGGGCCGCGATCCCGTCCTCCCCATTACTTTGGAAAAGACCTCCACCTGAAAGGCGAAAACGTCACGAGTCATTTGCTTGCCATTCTCTTAACTTTCTCTGGAGCATGAGGTGTGAAAACCTTTTTCAAAAAGTCTGAACACTGGTGAGGATGAAAAGTGTCCTGTATTGTGTTGTCATGAACTTTTACTGCTGCATGCATTTGTTTTTTTATTGTCTGGGCCACGTCACATGTCGTGTATAGGTACCAAAGCAAGACACCAAAGAACTTGGCCATGGCTCCACGCCCAGCCAATACCACCAACCAGAAACGGCCCGCCGTCGCTTTGACGTAAGACCGCAGGGGTGTTTTCGCGCACCAAACTCGTGTCTCAGCTCTCTGACGCAACCAGAATGGGCAATCGCCCGATGTAGACGTAAAAGTCGTGGGCGTCCAAGGCACGGTGTTTTCCATTGCAACCTTTGTGGGCGTTGTTTCTGTGTTTCGCGAAAAGTCGGAGACAAAATATATCGACCCAGCCTCTTGTTTGTGGATTGGTTCTTGTTTGGATTAACACGACGCCCCCGCACTGAAAACTTGAACCTCCCGCAAGCGGTGGCATTTTGCTATCAAAGCAGCTGTATTGTGGGGCTTTACTGCCGCGTGTGATTGTAGGAGCGACGACGCAGCAACAGGATGTGGCCATGCGGCCGTTGGCGCGGGCCATTGTGCCCTCTCTAGCTAGTACTATTGTCCAACTGCACGCAGAGTCAACTGAACGTGTCCCCCTCAAAAGGACGAACTGACAATGAGGATCAGAACATACCGCGTCACGCGCGAGTTTGTCGAGTTGCCGTAGCTCCGGGTCGGTGAAAGATGGCGCGCGGAGGGCGAACGACAGGAGAGACGCCCGTTTCATAAGCTCCCGCAGCGCCTCCAAGACCTTGTCGTACGTTCCCCACTCCGTGACGAGGTCCTTGATCTCCCGTGTCTTCATGTTTCTCCTCTGGCAGGTAAACATCATGGCCGGGATGAGTCATGACAGAGCAGCGAACAAGGGCCGAGGTGTCTCCCAGTACCGTGGTTAGGTGCCGCCCTTTGACGCACCTAAAATGCTAACCCTCTGCGTGGGCAGTTAGAGTGAGGCACGCCGAGTTTCGCCCGTGCGTGTGGATCTGAGCTACTGCTGTGATTCCTCTGCGAAACAACTTTCGAAGCTGCACAAATGATGAGTGTTCCACTTCTGCAAACAGATAGGCGTACACAATTTCGAGAGGAGGAGTGCTGTGCACCGCGCACGTGCCAAGAGTACCGGGTGAAGTTATGGTCACGCTTCTCGTGCTCTAGCCAGGGAGGGGTACGAAAACGAATGTATATAGCTCTGTAAACTGAAGAAGCATTGCGGCGGGAGAGATATTCCGTTCGGCGGGATATAACTCTTGAGCACATGCATGGATCGTATGCAATACTACGTGTTGGCTTTTCTCGGGAACAACGAATGCCCGACTACGCTACAAAATGTACTCACCATTGCCGAAACATCCTGGAGAACCATCCGGAATATGAGAAGAATGATCGATTGCAGTGTCCACTTGTCGCTGCCATTCAGAGAAGCGTAGTTGGTCACGACATCCTTCAGCTTCCGTGTTCCGGGTGGGTAGAGTAAAGACGGCTTCTGGGCCATGATGGCTGAGACAAGCCGGCGACCTGTAGTGGAGAGCATCTCCAAGAAGAACACCTGGCAAAGCTGACTTTGCCCCTACCGGCAACGGTGGTGGGATGCCGCGCAGACAAGGAGAGAATGCAACCCTTAGCCGACGAAGTGATCATGTGGGCGATCACAACAACCGTCGTTCTACTACTTACTGAAGTGCATGCGTCGGAATTTTGAACCTCTTGAGGACGGCGTATAATCTTCCGCTTGGAGACGTCGTCAACGTGTGTCCCCTGGGGGGTTTCTCACATGCAGGGTAAACTTGTGTACATCACTCACCAGCGCATCGAAGTGCAGTCGCTCGACGGGTACGTTCTCCGTCGGAACAATGCGCATGGCGGTGTATAGAGGGAGGGGGAGCCCTGACGCATCCGGCGGAACCAGTCCCAGGTCTCTTGAGCGTCGATCCTGCTCGCGAGGGACATCCGCGAGGGCATCCAACTCGGACAAGCCATCCGTTATCTGGCCCCATGTGCGGCGGTGCTTGTCGATGTCGAACCTTGGGTTCCCCAGATCGCCGCCGGTATCATCGTCGCGTTGACTCACCATGCAGTACGCGCACGGATGTTTGGACCAGCTGTTGGGAGCCTTCGTGCCGAGAAATTTCGAGCGCCCTTGTCCATCCCCACACATCAGCAGCAGACCGCCACGCACGAAAACCTGGCGGGTGGCAACAATTTGGCGGAGTCGTGGCGGGATCGAAATTTGGTCGGTGTGTTGGTGCAGTGGTCGTCAGTTTTTAGTGCGTTACCCGAGCAAAGGCCACCCGCACCCACATACGCACTAATGGCACTAGTAGAGGCATGCCTAATGCCGACACGTTGCCGAACGGGAAGTTCGTTCAGCTCAACCAGTTATGCAACTAACATCGTATGATAAACCCCGCTTCCACAACCGAAAATTCCGAGGTAAGCACAGATAATTACTGTTGTCGATCTTCCATGATCTCAGTGAACGTAGACCGTACCTCTTGCTCAAACGCCGCCCCTTCTTCGTCTGTCAGCTTGCACCGCCCCAGGCATCCTTTTTGTAACAGTCCGAGTATTTCGCACTGCAGGCCGGTCTCTCCCTGGCTGCAAGCTCCCGGGCTCGCGAGAGTACCGACGTGCGTTTGATGTTTCAACCGCTGAACCGCTGGCGTTCGCCAAGCCCATCCAAAGTAGGACCCTCCTATGGAATGCTGCGAACCACAACATCGCATGCATGTGCATAAACGAAGGATGGGGGAATCACGGTAAGCTATTGCGAATTTATCACCCCCGCTCGGGGTTAGATCTGGGGGGACGTCCCGCAATAACATAAGGATGGTGGTCCTGTGTGTGTGATACATATTCCGATATCTTCGCGCGAAACCATCTCAAAACCACACGCTCACCTTGCAACCCATTCCAAAGGCGTTGAATGCATCGCAGTGAAACACCGTCGGCGCGGAGTAGTACGGCATATTCATGTCGTTGAGATGTACGCCCTCACGTCGCAGTCCCCAAAGCGGCCTGTTTGCGGGCCCCTCGGCGCACCACGGGGACTCCGTCACCGCGAACGGCTTAGGCCTGGCGTTACTCTGCAGTGCTCGCTTTGTACCGGTCTGT